TGTGTATGCAGATGAATAATGCATTTTTGTACTTCAGATTTTTGTCAGTTGCCGGAAAGGTTTTAGATATTGGTAGATTTAGTCCCTATAAATTTTTAATTTACAAAAAGGTCCATTTAAAGTTTTTTTTATAGAAACAATCCGTATGTTTAAAATTTACGTATGTTAGTAGGTTTGGCTCCTGTGTAAAAATAGATCACAAAAAATTTCCCCGTAATTTAATAATTTACAGAAAAAGGCCCTTACAGTTTTTTTATAGAAATGGTCTATATGTTTAAAAAATTACAAAATTGTCCCTACCTAATAGAAAATTTGCAGGCTACCCCCACGTGGCCCTATAATATATTGTCATGTTTCATCCCTGCATTTTTTTGGTTTCACACTTTGGCCACAAGACTTCAGTATATTTATAGGTTTGTTTCATACACTTTCATAGTTATGCAAGGTTGTTCACTCCCCCCTCCCCCCCCCCCCCCCCCCCGCTCGAGAAACAGAAATAGTAACTTATTAGTTTAAACTAAAAAATAAGAAGCGTCATTAAATATAACATGAATACTATGTGTTTTTATAGGGAAATCTGTTGAATTGAGTTTCTATTAGCCGAATCAGTTCAATGTATTATTTTATAAGGAGATTTGCATATATATATATATATATATATATATATATATATATATATATATATATATATATCCTTGTTAAATATCAAAATATCATATTTATCCAATCAAAAATCTAAATATAATATTTATTCTTCATAAACTTCAAAATATCTCAAATCCTTTTTTAATTATTTTTTAACACTTTATAATATATTTAGATATTTGATTTTAGTAATGGACTATTATACCTTTTATAAATTCCACAATATTAACTAATTGAACTTCAAAATCTCATCTAAAAGAAAGTTGAGTTAGATGATTTATGGAACAAAATCTAAGTTACAAAACTAGCTAAATCGCTAGCTTCTTGCTTTGAATATTTGGAACAAAACCAAAAGTGCACAATATGTAGTGAATTCAATCCTTCTTAAATTGGTTCTTAAAATCCATCACTTGTCAAAGTTGGCTTTTTCATCCCTAGATGCTTTACCAGATTCAATAACAAATTCATTTCTAAACCTACATTACAATTTTCTTCCTCACACCTAAAACCTTAAAAAAAAATTTCAATATTACATATATGCAAAGATCTCAAACAAAAAAGAGCCACCATTCTTGTTCCAAAAATTATTTCAATCAACTTTCTTTTAGATCAGTGTTTGAAGTTAAATTGAAAACTTATGAACATGAGATAATAATAAATTGATAAATATAAGGATTTAAAAAAGATTATAATTTTTTTAAAAGAAATGTTTAGAAAAGGATTTGGAAAAATATGATATTTTGAAATTTATAAAGGGTAAATATGATATTTAGATTTGTATTCAGATAAATATTATATTTTGATGTTTAAAAAAGCATACAAAAAATTTTCTCTTATTTTTATCTTTACATATGAACTTGGTTCAAACACAATCATCTAATTTTACATTACTACTAACCTACATTTCCATAAGTTATAAAAGAAATTATCGTAAATACTAAAATACCACATCTAACTTGATATTTTTTTTTTCTTCATAAAGAACAATCTTGGTAAAGAGCTTCCTGTACAAGCAATTTTACAATTATATGTTTTAAAATAATCTAAATTTATGGTTTGATGGCGTTAAAGGCTTTGATTCAATAATAATAATATTATTATTAGCAATCGAAATAGTAAGATAATCCCTATTCACATCCCAACTCAACATAAATATTCATTAAAAACTAATTTCTCTTTCTTCCTACAATCCAACTAAATCCAAAATTTTTACTCTCGTTAACAACTCAACCAAAAACTATTTTTTTTATTTAATAAATAAAATTTATAGTTTTTTTTATTATAATAATTATTTTTCAAAAAAACTAAATTCTTTATTTAAGATACAAAAATATTAAAAATAGATATAAAAATATATAACACTTATTTAGATATAATTTCTTGGTTTTTTAAAATTAAATTGTATTAAAAAAGGATATTTTTTTTATTTCTATTCTAGAACTTTATACAAAAGTAGCAAAACAATTATTAATAAAAAATAGGCCAAATGATGTTTGCGATGGAGTAGCAGTCGGTAGTATTTTGAGGAATTTTGCTTATTTTAAGTATTTGAGAAATTAAATATCCTCCTACTTTTCTTCCTACATATCCTCCTACTCATTTGAAATGATGACAAGTGTATTAAATTAAGACTAAACTGCACAAATGGTCCCTGTGGTTTGCTCAAAATTGTCACTTTGGTCCAAAAAAGTTTGGACTAGCACCAGAGGTCCAAAGTTTTCATTTTGTTGCCTGTTTGGTCCAATCTGTTCTGAATTTTTTCAAAATGACGGACTTGCCCCTGTTAATTTGATTTTCTCTTTTTTCTTTATTGTATTTCTGATTTTTCAGATTTAACAAAAAATAAAAAATTAAAAAATCTCTCTCTCTCTCTCTCTCTCTCTCTATAATCCATTCCAAATCGAAAAGGTATTTCTCAGATATGAAAGCTGATGTGCCCTAGAACGATATTACGATCAATCCACTCAACCCATAGATTCCCAATCTTCTTTCTTCTTCTCTCAAATGTAATTGATTTTAGGTTTATGTTTGCTTGAATTTGAAGAGTCGAAAACGTAGTCAATGGACAGAGCAAGTGTTCGACACCGATCCAGCCAAATCGGTTATCCCTGTCGTATCTTCGTCCGATTTACCATCTGCCCACCGATCGGTTTCGCCCCTTTTCCTCTTACCAGTAGATGAACTCAGATCGACTTCCACCTCTACCCACAAACCTTGAATTGCAGAGTAGAAAGCTTCTTTCTCTGTCGAAGTGAGTCACGAAGGTCAGTTTGAAGTTCAGATTGGAGATATCGATACTAAAATTTTCAAGAAGCTTCATCAGGTTGCCATTATGCCCCTCACCGTGAATATGTTGAACTATCGTTTTATTTATTTGAACCCTAACTCTACACCATTGTTTGATTTATGAACCCTATATTTGTATGTGTATCTGGATTTGTGTGTACTATTGTGGCTCAGTGGTAATTAAGAGCTTATTTGGGTGATCTTTACTCTTTATGGAAGCAAAGGATTAAAAAGAGAAAATTGTTTCAGTATATTACAAGATGTGACCATCGGAGGATTTGGTTCTAAGTGTCGAAGAAGGTGTTCTGATTCCAAGGCCTGAAACCGAGTTGATAATCGATATGGTAGAAGATGTGATCAAGCAGAGTCAAGAATTGAACGAAGGTTTGTGGGTGGATTTAGGTACCGGTTCTAGTGCAATAGTTATTGGAATCGGGAGGATTTCATGGATTAGGATTGAGAGAGAAGGTGGGTTTGTGTGTTTAAGAGAGAGAGAGAGAGAGAGAGAGAGAGAGAGAGATTTCATTTTTATTTTTTTTATTCTGTTATAAAAAATTATAAAAATAAAATAGAAAATGCAAATTTCTTTTTTATTTTTTCTTTTAATCAAAAAAGTATTTAAATAATAATAAAACTGAAAAAGATAAAAAAAATAAGGGTAAAATAGTCATTATGAAAAAGTTAATAGAAAATTGGACCAAATTCGCAACAAAATGAAAAGTTTTGACCTCTGGTGCTAGTCCAAACCTTTTTGGACCAAAGTAGCAAATTTCAACTAACCACAGGGACCATTTGTGCAGTTTTGTCTTAAATCTATATCTATATCTATATCTATATCTATCTATATATTATCTTATAAAGCTAGCATTTTTCCTTGAACCTCATGCATTTGAAACTCCCAAGGCTATTCAACTTATATTTTTACTCAAACCATATTCATTTGAAACCTCCTACTTAAATGAATACCACTCAAAAGTCTTTTAATAATGATTAACTATTCAAAAGTTTATAACTTATATAATATGTTTAATAAGCAATTAATAGATAGTCTACTATAAAAGGCCAATCTCTTTTAGTAGAAACACAAATACAAATCACATACAAAAATTATGTAATGTTAGCTACAAATAAATTGTATTCTAAATAATCATCATTATTGAAATTAGAAAATAATCGCATAAGTAAAAAATTTAAATTAATTAATCATAATATTTTTTATAAATAATACTAAATAGATAATTATATTTAATTCTATTAATGAGGAAGGTGGGTTGATGTCAATAAATAATATTGTTCAAAATAGTTGAGATTTTATATATATATATATATATATATATATATATATATATATATATATATATATAATTTAATGTAAAAATATTATGTCAAAGTTAATGTCAATAAATAACAATTTTAAACATATATTTTTCAATATTTTAACAATCTATTTTTAACCTGCGCCGCGCAACGCGCGGGAATTCGTCTAGTTAATGATAATTTTATCAAAATATGACACATGTCACCATTTTACATGGATATTAATATAAATAGAAAGAAAATGTAGAAAGATATTTAATTTCTCTACCAACCAGCCCATTCATTTATTGATAAATGGGGATGGTCAAAGATCATAGTAATTATAATATCTTGTGTCAGCTTATTTTCGTCCGCATTATCATCCTCTTTGTCTAAGTCATCAAGGGTTACCGGTTGAGACCAAGAAACTAGGAAATTGATTTAATTGAGAAGGTAAAAAAATTCTGGTTTTTCATGAAATTAACTTTTTTTTTTATCATAATTGTTTCTTCAAAAACATGACAAATATATAGTACTCTTCTTCATATCATGAAAATAACATTCATACTACAAACTACATGCATCATAATAAAAAGTAATAAAAGCCATCCCATGAAAAAGGAATAGCTAAGAAAACACACGCCTAGAAAAGCTTCAAATACAACATTAAAAAGCTTAAAACATAGGCAGCGAGTCACTAACGACTTCGTACTAAAAGTCTGAGAACACCATTTGTCGAGCTAATTAATTATGGTGGATGGACATCGCGACTATCAATAATACTTCCTATACACGTCGCTAGTTTTAGCAACAAATGCAGGTCGTGCATAACGCTTCTGTGGTTCTGTTGGTTGTGCACGTGTGGAAAGTTCATCAAGTACTCCTTTTTGCCTTGGATCTGAACGTGGAGAATGCTTCATGGATTCCAATAAGCCCAAAGCCTCGTTTATATTATCAATCTTAGTTGAAAGAGAATGATGTGTCGTAGGTGGACTCTGTACAGATTTGTTAGTACCAGAAATATTTCCGGTCCTAATCTGTCTGGCTGCAAAACCGAGTCCAGAACGAACCAAATCGGCTTCTTCTGAATGGTAATTATGAACGGGACTTGAAGGATGATACTTATTTGGGCTTGAAGGATGATATTTATTTGGGCTCGAAGTGTTTCTATTTTTCATGGGCCAATTTCCTTCATTGTGGAATTTGGGTGGGCTCGAGTTCTCATAGTTGAACCCAGTGTTCGGGCTGAAACCTACATTTGGAGATTTTGGACTGCTAGACATGGTTGGGGAATGAACGTATTCATTTAGGAGCTCCATTTTTGAAGGGGAACCAACAAAATCGGTGAACCCAGCACCCGGGGCACCAACCCGGTCAATCGTCTTGGTCTGAACTGCATACTGGTTGACCGGGTTTCTTGGCCCGTGATCATAACCACCCCGGGCCGGAATGTCAGTGTAGGTCGAGTAGCCTTTGGTCACATAGGATTTTCCTGCCATTCTTGGTTGGATGATAAGATTGTGTGTTTGTTTTGTTTGATTTTGCTATGTTTGAGGATCGATATATGTTGTTCAGTTGTTGTGTCTTATATAGTACAGCTACTCAAGAGAAAGATATTTCCAAGTGTTAGATATTTCCATGCGTTGCACTGTTTCAAGATTAGGATTCTTTTGGAAGGTTTGAAGATCGGATTCTAGTCCAAGATATTTTGTTACAAGTCGAACATATTCCTACTTAATGGGTTTATGGGGAATTCGAATTTTACAGAAAATAGCACGTTTGATGTTTTGGTTACATATTCTCTTGCGCTGTATGAGATAATTTCGTATACGTTAAGTAAGTTATTTTGCGTCAGGAATAAGATTATAGATCATCTAAGTTTTGGAATCTAACATGTGTATTTATATGTATGTATGTTCTTTGAGATAGGTTGGGATGGAATGTTTATCAATATAGTATCATGTAAAGAATATGACATTTTTATATACATACATATAAGTATACATTTTTCTGAGATATGTGGGAATGTTTATCTATTTTTTAAAGATGTTTATTCTTTTGAACGGAATGTTTCTTTTTACTAGGGTGAGCATAATAACAAAAAAAACTGAACTATAATCAAATTAACCGATATAACTGAACTAATAAAACCGAACCATTGCTGAAAATGGTGCAGCGGTTTTTTCTAATGGTCCGGTTTTGTTTTTTCTATGAAACCGAACCATATATAACTGAACCAAACCTATTAATATATATAAATTTGAAAAATATTTTATATATTATAGAGTTGGTAATTATATTAATTATATAGAGAAATAAATCAGTTGGAGGTCTTTATTCTTGAATGAGATATACAGTTAGCTAATTAGGTACACAACGATTAATCAAGTAAACAAAGAGTGTGATTAAAGATTTTGATACTCAATTACACATGAGTGTTTGAATAAAGTTTCTCAATTAATCGACTATTGCACACAATAAATAAGGTACGCTCTCAAATCAAATCTTCAGTCTCCGTATTTTTTGGAAACCATTGTTCTCCGGTTTAAAGCTTGATTAAAATTTTTTATTCTTAATTACACATGAATGTTTGATTAATATTTTTGATTGTCAAATGAAGTTTTCTTGCCATATTCGTTGGAAATCATGGTTCTGGGGAGTTTTGTTCCAAGGTATGGTAGTTTTTAAAAATAATTACCAAATCATTGTAGTTGAAAATTTAATTACCAAAACATTATAGATCACCCTTCTATTGATTTTGTTGTTCTTTTTAAAAATTATATATATATATATATATATATATATATATATATATATCTTTTAACATAACCACAACCACCGCCATTGTTCCCGTCAAAACTCAAAACCATTTTTCATATTTTGCGGTCATCGTTTTCTCTCTGTTTTCTCTCTGACTACAAAACCAATAAAAAAGAAACTATATTCAAATTTATGAAAACACAATATTAATTCTTGAATTCTATACTCACACGGCCTCGATAATTTCCCTAATTTTTATACTTAATTACACATGAATGTTTGATTAATGTTTTTGATTGTCAAATGAAGTTTTCTTGCCATATTTGTTGGAAATCATTGTTCGGGGTGGTGGAATCTCTCCTTTCTATTCCAACCAAGGTTTAGTACCCACAAAAACAAAAATTCCAAAATTACCTTTATGGAAAAATAATAGTTTACCGGACTTGCATTGGATCTTTGAGAAAATGTACGAAAAAAATTATGCATTTTACGTTAGATGTTAATTTTAACTTCCATGTAGGCTAACATGTATATTCAGTTGGTAGTTGGCGTGTATAATTATCTTTTATTTTTTTGTATTTTTTTTGTTTTATGTAGCAGCATACTTTCTTATTTTTACTTTTTAGTTTTTATAGTAATAGTAATGTAGTTTTTTTTTCTCACTTTCTTTATCAATCCATTTTCAGTTTTAATATCATTTCTTTATTATAATGGTTAACCGATATTAACCGTTAACCAAAATCATTAAGCGATTAAAACCATTAACCATAATCATTATTAACCATACCCAATGGCTACCAAAATACATTAATCGATTGTGACCTATAACCTATAACCGAACCAAACCGCTCCATACACATCTCTACTTTTTAAACTAATGCAAACAAATAATCCTTTGTAACAAAAAGTCAAATATGATAGTTAGAAGCAATTAGTCAATCGATAAGATCTATTAACTTGATGTATAGGTTTATTGTTTAGTTCATCCTTACTAATACAATTTAAAATATATTTATATAGGTTGTCAATTCAATGTACTGTTTTTTTTTGTAGAATCAATGAAAAATGAATTTGTAAGGTAGCGTAATTAATATATATATATATATATATATAGATATATATATATATATATATATATATATATATATATATATTTTACATAATTTATTTTAAACTCACAATTTTCTAAAAAAAATACTATTTTAATTTTGGTTTAGTCGATTTAACTGTTCAACAAACATCAATGGTTACAAACAATTTTGTAGGTTTATATGATTAAAGCTAGAATTACAAGCAAATATTGGAATTGGGTTTTTAAACCAAGCAAACAAAATTAGCTTCAGTTTTTATGTTATTAAACTGAACCAAGAATAAAAAAAATCAACTATATCTTCAAAAATTCAATTTTTAATCAGATTAAACTCTCCAAAAATGATGTCATTTCAATATCGCCAAAACACCCATAAAATCGTCTGAATAATAGACTTCAATGCCACCTTTTTATTAACCGAGAGCTTAACCGACTCCAACCAAGAAAATAAATCGTGTAAAGTATCTGCACCAAAAGCACCAAATCCACCCCTGTAAACACCCTTTGCCAAAAACATAAACTTCTTCAAATAATAAGAAAACATGATCTGATTTTTCCACCTCTATATCACATAAATGGCAAAACAACAAAGGAATATCCAAGCCTTTGATGCTACGATTCCACCTAGAAGGTAAATGATATAGTAACAATTTCTAAATAAAATTGTTTACCTCTTTCAGAACAAAACGATTCCATCTAGTCGTATAATTTCCATCCGGCAAACATTCAATATCAATATGTTTTCTAACTTATCAAATGGCTTCTAGCCTAGCGGTATCCAGTGTTGCCCTTCCTCTTTGAGGTTGCGGGTTCAAGTCCTGCAATGGACATTGGTGGAATAATTTAGGAGTAGTTTAGTATATTTGCCGTTTCAAAAAAAATATTTTCTAACTTCATTCACTATGAACCGGAGAACACCATTCAAAACCCACTGCCAATCATCTTCCTCTTGGTTCGGTTGAAAAGACTGAATCAACATCAATAATTATTCAAATTGTCTTTGCAAAACTCCACCTTCAAAAGTACGATTCCAAAGCCAATAGTACCCATCATCCTATCTATCTGCAATAGAACAATCACGATTTTGTTCTAGATAAAACAAACGAGTAAAACGATCTTTTAAAGGAATATCCCATGTCTAATTATCTAACAAAAACCAACTGGTTCTCCCATTCCCTACCGTCTTCTTGAGACACGAGAAAAAATTATACCCCTTTCATGCATGGTATTTATGAAAGCAACAATGCGAGACCAAACCCCCGAAATAGTAACTTTATGATTACTACAAAAATCACCACTCGGATAGTCTCCATTTTTGAATCAAAACATGATTAATAGCCACAAGACTCCTAAAACCGAGGCCAACACTGATGTAATCAAACCAGATCTTTTACAAATCTCCCCTGCCATTTTTTCCAATTAACCCAAGAAAGTTTTTTTTTTTAGAATTACCATCAAAACACCAAAAAAAACTTAGCTCAAAGGGATTCCAATTTTTTTTAACATGCATTGGCATCACAAGAAAAGACATATACTAATTACCCAACGATCCCAATACTTAAGTAATCAAAATAGATCTACCATCAAGAGATAACATATTTACCTTCCAACTAGATAATTTTTTTTCTCAAACTTATCAATCAATGGCTTCCAACCTTTAACCAACGCCACCCACCGATAAAGCAAGTAAGAAAAAAGAAGCCTAACAACTACAACGAGTAAAACTGTAACACTCATTTTCCAGGATAGAATGACAGAGGGTTTAGAAGGATCAAAAGAAAGGTTTTTGGGAAAAATCTTGTGCCACGACGTGGTGGTTGGAGCACCACGAAGTGGCACGTCAAATTCATAAATGCTTATCCAGTATGGTCACACGACGTAACGAAAGGAAGGTCACGACGTGACAACAGCTGCAGCCCAAGGCCATGATCTTTAAGGGTTTCTTCCATATTTAAGCTTCTAAACTCAAGGATTAGAGCATCCTCTTCAGCCTCCAACCCTTTTGAATGAAACCTTAGCCTCCATTGTTGAGTTCTTAAGCTTTTGGTGGTGTTTTTGGTGTCTTGAGGGAGAAGGGAGTATCCTTAGTGCATAGATCCAACATGCAAGTCTCATCATCATCACCTTCTAGCACTTACTTTGGACCATTGTGAGTGTTCGAGTTCCAAGCTTTATGTTATATGCTTCTAGATCTAGGCTTTTTGTGCATTTTCTCCATGTTTGGGAGATTTTGTGTGGATGGATTCCATAAAGTTGGCAACTTTATAGATCCTTGAGGTTCCGTTGAGGTTTAGTGTTCCAGATCTGAGATTTTGTTAGGTTTTGGCTCATGCATGAGATTTTTTACCTCATTTCCACCATTGTTATGACTTAGCTTTAAGAAAGATATGTATTGGACATGCATGACTATAAAGCAACGATTTTTATGACTCGTTGGGTGTAAGAAAGACTTCTGGAGGAGATGAGTGTTTGGCTTAATGGATTAAGAGATTATTCTATTAAGCTGTCCAGAATCAGTTCCCATGGCTTGACGATATGCCCGTCACGACGTGGCATAGGAGGATCTCGCGACTGTTTTGTTCGAACGACGTGGCCAAGAGTCCTCTACGTCGTGGTGGGGATTGATCGTTGAATTTTTTGACCAGTTTG